TTTTTTTTTTTGACAGAGGTTCCCAAGACAATTTGATGCGAGAAACAACAGATTGTCCTGTCTTTATTACTGCTTTCTTTTGCAGGCAGTGCTGGGGATGGAGCTCACGAATTCTAGGCAAGTGCTCTATGCTTAGCTACAGCCCCACCCCTGTCTTTTATCAGCTGTGAGATGGAATCCAAGTGTCCAGGCAATCTCTTAACTCAGTGACCCTGGAGTAGCTGGGACACAGGGGCATGCCACCATACCGGGCTATAAAAGAGAGCCTTCAATAAATCATACTGTGAGCGCCGTGGTGGCACACACCTAGAATACAGCACCCTGGGAGGCAGAGGCAGGAAAAATCCCAAACTCAAGCCTAGCCTGGTTAAATTAGCAAGACCTTGTCTCAAAAATAAAGAAGGGCTAGGGATATAATCCCAGTGGGAAGTCCCTGGGTTGGCTCTCCAGGGAGAAAGAGACAGAGAGGCAGAGGCAGAGGGACACAGGCAAATATAGGTGAGGATATGGAGCAACAAAATGATCATACACTGTCCCTGGTGGGAACATAAAATGACAGTCTTTTTTTTTTTTTTTTTTGGCAGAACAGGGGATTGAACTCAGACCCTTGCGTTTGCCAGTCAAGCGCTTATCCTACTGAGCCATCTCCCCAGCCCCTTGAGATGGGTTCTTGCTCTGCACTTCAGGATGGCCTGGAACTCACTCTAGTGCAGGCTGACCTCGAACTTGCAGTCATCTTCCTGCCTCAGCCTCCCAAGTGCTAGGGCTGAACCATGCCCAGCTTGGTTCAATTGCTTTGCAAAACAGTTCATTTCTTAAAAGGCTCAACGTAAAGTTCCCATAGAATCTAGAACTACTCCTGTGAATCTGCCCCAAAGGACAGAGACACTTATCAACACACTGCCCTGCAGGATCATCAGACAGCTCGAAGGTCACAGCAACAGTATCCCAACTCCAGTGTCCACCACCTGTGAGCAGACCCCTGCAATGCAGTACCACTTGGTAATGAAAAGGAACTACTGCCTGTAGGTTGGGGCTCCTCAGAAAAGCACTTCCGGAGCTAGGGAAGCAGGAAGCAGAAGGCCCAGGTACCTGCCATTCCACTCTCCGGACCTGTCCAGAAGAGGCGGCTTGGGGGGATGGGAGACGCCCCAGGCTGGTGCTGGGGCCAGCCGCGCTGACTACAACCAGGCCCAAACAGGCCGGAGGGGCCTTACGTGGTGGGGGAAATGTTTTGTAACTAGATTGTGGTGCGGATTGCACAACTACAAATCACTGCACTGTTTAGAAGGAAAGCAGCTAAAGCCCCGCTGAGCAGCAGCCCAGCAAGGGGACTGTGCTGCCCCCGGGGCAGGGACAGGCAGCCCATAGTCTGCTGCATACCTCCAGAGTTGCACAATGAGCCTAGCTTCCTGGGAGGAGGTGAGGGGTGCAGGAAGCAGGTGCGCGAGATTGGGAGCCTGGGGAGACCCCCTCCCTGCCCCCCTAAGTCTTAAGTTCCTGAGTGGAGGCAAGAGGCAATTTAAAACAATTGGAAAAGGCACAGGTTAGCAGTTGGGAGTTAGAATTTTAGTATGTAACTACAGAGCAGTTTAAACTGTGCTCGCCTGTGATTCCTGACAGGTTCAGGCCCTGGTATGAACTGCTAAAATCACTATGGTGGTCACCTAATAAGGCGATGCCCTTAAAACAAAAGATCACCTCCCCCTTCTCCAACTCAGCCCAGGACGTAATTTACTTTCTTTTTATTTATTTATTTATTTATTTATTTATTTGTGTGTGTGTGTGTGTGTGTGTGTGGCCAGCTCAGCCCACCAGGGGGCGGGGCTGG